TATTTTGGCCAAAACTGTACAAAAATATATAAATTTTGCATTTAAGATAAAAAAAAGCCTTTGTCTGTAAATATGTCCTACCCAGAACTTAAGTAGCATAGTTTTTTCTTCATAGTTTTTTCTTCACCTTTTGCTGCAAAGTTTGTTAAACAAGTGTCAGATGGCTGAGTGAAACTCTTTTTTTGTCCAAAGGAAGGTATACATACGTTTTCCTATCTTCCATCCAGACTTCTCATGTCTTTGCACCACATGCCACTCATCGACGACAGCGCAGCTGTCAATCAGAAGCGATCTGTTGGTGTAACGGCAGATGGCACCATGTGGATCTACCACCTGGTCCAGTATGCTCAGCTGCTGCTCAGCCATCCCAAACACGTTCAAAGCATCCAGCCGTTCAGCGCTGAGCAAAAACAGGCCTGGAACGGGTAGGACAGAGCAGGATTATGCCTTATTTTACATGCCTGATCACTTACAGTTTAAAGAAAATGTTTTGGGTTTTTTGTTTGTCAGCATGCTGGAGTCAGTGGCCAGTTTGAAAAGAAAAGCAAAGAAAGGCCGGACGACAGAGAGCGCTGCGTTCCAGCAGCTCTTCCTGCTGATCGGCATGCTCCTCTTCAAGGTAAAAGCAGCTTTTTCAGGATTAATAACTGTGCTTCCATTGAACCTATAATTGTAATTACGAAAAGAAATCTGCTTAATGGAAACATACAAATTTTGAAAAATCTCACGCCACTTGGTATAACGTTTTTGCAAGGTGACGTGTTTCTTTTGGCTGCATCAAAATTGGTGTATTATGCAAAACTGCAATGGAAACAATTTATCACTAGTCACATGATCAACACCCGGATGTTACTACTGGTGGAAAAGAGGAAGAAGATAACAGGAAGTAGTAGGAGGATTATGGTGCAGGATGTTTTTTTAAAACTTATTCACATGATTTTAAGTGCATTTAAACTTTAATGGAAAAAACACATAAATTGTTTATTTTTTGATGAATATGGAATATTGACACAGTTTTGGGCACTTTTGTAATGGAAACGCTTCTGCAGGAGAGGATTTCTGCAACTCTTAGAGTCCAGATGTTTAATTTGAATTTCTCTCCCTGAAGGCTCCGGATGAGGTGCTGGACATCATGAAGGACCTGCAGAGCTGCATTGATAAAGCCCAGGAGAAGAAAATCAACAAGAAAAAGAAACAACAGGGTGAGGCTGCATAACTCCGATATAAATATTCAGCACCGACCTTCAGAATAATAATTAACTCCACCTGTAACATGAACGTGTTGCAGCTATGGACAAGGAGGAGCCAGAGTGGGTGGAGGTGATGGTCGACATCCTGCTGTCCCTGCTGTCCCAGCAGAGTCGACACATCAGGCAGGTCTGCAAGACGGTCTTCAGCTCCATCTGCCCCCACGTAACTGCAGCAGCACTCACTGCCATCGTAGACGTGAGTAATCAGTCCAAGCTGGATTTTAAAACTGTACATTTTCAGGAAGTAACATGTTATTTATTTTATTTGACTAATTTCCCAAACATTTACTTATATTTGTTTCTGTCCCTCTTGGCTGAAGCATCTTCATTTTAAATGTTACTTCTGTGACATCTTTGATGGGGGTTGTGGGAATTTATCGAGAAACTTGCATTGAAAATGGGGATGCAAGTTATGAATTGAGTTAATCTAAAATAGATTTTTATCAATTGACTAATGATTAATTAAGAGGCCAGTTGTCTCTTGTATCCACCATCTTTCCATAACACAATTATTTTTCATAATATCCTGGATTTTTAAAATTTATTACATTTTAACTTTATTTTGTCGGCTGTAATAAATGCTGACTGTATGAACAAAAGCACCTTCTTTTGTCTGTAAATACATCATTAAATTTTTAATAAGTTGTTGCTGCTCCACCATGAGGCTGAATGAGAGTTATTAAGGCGGAACTTAAGGAGCTTGTATTGTTTATATTTCATAACAGAACTGGATAAATGACATTTTGCGTCCCACACCAGACGCCGCATGCCAATATTTTGCCATAACTGAATTATTAGAATAATCTAAGGCCAAGAGAATTAATTTTGATTGTCATCTAATTTAGTAATTAATTAATTGCTAACTGAAGTATGCAGACTCAAAAATGGGCATCTGCTGAAAACAAAAATATTCTGAGCATGTTTGACTTAAAATTGCATGTTATTAAGACAAAAACATGCAATTTGTTATCTTAAATACATGTTACATTTAAGAAACAAACACTTTTGTCCACATATATTTCACAACCAAACACCTGAAGTGGCATAGCTTTAGCTTTACGTGGTTCAAGTTCACAAAAGGATTGCTATGTTGTTGCATCATAGGCAATAAAATGTTTTATTTTATATTAAAAACATACATTCATTTATTTGTTTGTTTGCATCTTTTAATGTATTTCTAATATATTAAAAAGCCTTAAATGAAGATATGGAGCATCTGCCACTTAGTCATCAGAATAATCAATAAATGAATCAATAACTAAGACCACTTTTAGTTGCAGCCCTAAAAAATTGGAGAAAAAGGTACAACTTTTAGTCAGATGTAAAAAACCAGATTTACTGCTTGTGTGGATTTTTTCAGGAAGTGTTGCTGTGTTTTTCTGAAAGGTCTTGGACCCAGACAAGGAAGATGAGGAAGACGGCGCTGTAGTCGTCACTGACGATGGAAACAAAACACAAAAGAAGCTGAAGGATGATGATGACGAGGAACAAGATGAAGACATGGAGGTTACAGACTTTCCCTCTTCTGCAGTTTCACACTTTACAGGTTTAGAGACTGATTTTACAAAAATATTTTATGGCTAGGATGATGAGTCAGAGGATGGCTCTGATGAGGAGAGTGAGGGTGAGGAGGAGGAAAAAGAGATGGAGGAGGGAGAAGTGGACCAAAACTTTCGCCTTGAGCTGATGAAGGTCCTGCAGCAGCAGAACGCTCTGGTGAGTGATCCAGTCAGCACTTCCTGTCTGGTTCCAAGTCCAAACCTCTTCAGCTTATTTTAGTAATAATATGCTGCTTATTTAGGCCACTGAGGAGGACGCCAGCAGCGATGAAGATCTGGATGATGAAGCTATGATGCAGCTTGATAAGAGCCTGTCAGCGCTGTTCTCAGAACAAAAGAAGAAGACTGAGGAAAAGAAAAATGAGAAGATGAAGCTGCAGAAAGAGAGGGGTCTTGTCCGGGACTTTAAGATTAAGGTAACTGGCCCTCAGCTGGAGCTGGCCAAGATGGCATCAAAATAACATCGCCAATCTTTTTTATACCACATCTGGTTTTAATATGTTTTCTTTTCTTGCTTTATTTTCTAAAAAAAAAAAAAAATTGCAAATGACAAAAAAAAAAATCAAAAATGTTTTTTATTTCAATCATCTCAATATGAGTTGTACGAACTACAAGAAATTAATCATTATATTAGCAGAATTAAGAAGCAATTTTACCAGAAGAAAGTCTTAAAATTATGAGAAAAAAATTGTTTCAGTGAGGAAAAAAGCTGCATAATTAATGTTTTGTTGTTGGTTTATTGTTTTTCTTTCTTGTCTCTCTTTCTACCAAAAACTGGATAACAAAACTCTTCAGTCTGGTGCATTGGTCTTAAATAGCCCCTTTTTTGAAGGACAGTTTTGTTTAATGAGACATCAGATTTAAAATGTCTTCCAGTTCCAGTGCTAAATGTTAATTTTAATGTACAATATTCTTGCATTATTTTGCCATTACCATTATATTGCTAGAAAATGGTCTCAAAGCAATAATATCGCAATAACTTCTGTGACAATTTATCACCCAGAATTTATTTATTTGTTTGTGACGGGCCTAAACTGGATAACATAATATTCCGACTTTATTCTGGTAATCTTCATATTCTCATTTTATTATGATTGTTGTAGTGTCAATTATGTTTAGCAAAGAGTGAGGAAAAACTGTTTCAAGAACCAGAGTAAGAATATCTATTCTTTATCAGTATTTAATTTGAAAGCTTCATGAGTTTGAAGACTCTGCTCCCTGAACACAGGAGAAAAAGAGCTTCAAGCAGAACACAGCACCCAGTTTTATAGAAAAGGTTTCTAAATGTGCGGCAAACTAATGGTGGTAGAGGGCCGCACTGGGTTAACTCGGGGAATCTCATCTGTTTGATACGTTTCAATCAACTCAGGCCACTTCTTTGTTCAGTCAATTATCGGTTTATTCCATTTTAGATTGTCAAGCTTCAAACTTTGCAAGGACTGAAACACAGTCTGACCAGGCCAAACAATCAACGGCACCACAACACGGTCAACAGAAACTGTGACCACCCTGTGGACCCACTTCCTCATCCACACAAAGCCAGTAACCTTCCCATTCATACTTGGTGATGGTCATACTGTCATACCAATAATTACTTATTTTATTCATATGGCTCTTACAGTTTCATTCCATTCACATAGTTGGACAATCTACTTAATTACAAAACAGAAAGAATGCACATGTTCTTTCATAAGGGACATTAAACATTCAAGGACATCTTGAGGGTGCAAACAAGAAACAATTGAATAACTTTATTGTAATGCAGAGTTCAGAGAAACGACTTCAGAAGACTCATGAGTACGTTCATTACACAAGAATCATGACAATGTTATGCATTGATTCAGTCAGTAACCATAGTAATCTTAAAAGTGTTCTGTATTGATTTACTCATAATCATAGTATCCTTAAAATTTTCCACTATACTGTTTTGTAATATTATGACTTTACCTTTGCTTAAAAAAGAAAGAAAAGAAAAATCTTAGTCAGACATTTTTTGTAGAGTTGACCTGAATTCATCGTTGAAATAAATAGAAGCTGTAAACGAAGCTCGTCAAACTAAATGGCAGCTCTGGGCGATCTGCCATCACACGTATGAAAATCCAAGAAGTGCACTGGTGAAACAAAGTACAGATTTTCCAAAAATGAAATCTTCAAAGACTAAAAATGAATTAATCAATAACATTGATTTATTGCCCAGCACTAATCTCATTGGCTGCTTTAGATGTCTGGGACATGCAGTAGGAAAAACCTCTCTGTCACTGCCCTGCCAGCATGCCTAGGTGGGCCCCATATGGGGAAAAGGAGGGCAGCCCACATGGGTTTGCCCAGGTAGGGCCCATGTAGGGCCCATGTGGGCTGTGGCCCCACCGTGGAACCCACGGACAAACCCATACGGGACCCATCTGGTCTGCCCTCTTTTCCCCCATATGGGGCCCACCTAGGCATGCTGGCAGAGTGATAACATGTCCATTTCAGGTGTTGGACCTGGTTGAGGTGTTTGTGGCCCGGCAGGCCGGCAGCCCTCTCATTCTGGGTCTAGTGGAGCCGCTGCTAAACATCATCAACAGAGGGATGAGCTCTGGGAGTGAGCAGCAGGAGCAGGACTTCCTCCGCAGAGCAGCAGATATCTTCAGGTAAAAACTGTCAGGTTCTGATCAGGATTGTAATAGTTTGGGGGTTACTTTTATTCCATTGTGACTTTTTGTAAGTTTTAATTAATTTTTAGTGTTTTTTTTTTAGCAAATAAACACTCTAAAAACTAATATCAGTCAAGTATTATTTAGTTTTAGTTTAGTTTTTGTACTTTTTTCATACTTTGGTTAGATGCAGATTTCAAAATGTCAAAATATTGACCTTTTGAATAATTTGAGTATTAATTACATCAATTGGATAATTAATACTCAACAGAAGATATGATATTCCAAAAATGTATTCAATTATTGTTGAACAACCAACTGACTCGTTTTTTTGCCCAACTTTTGCATTTGACAGGTGGTGGAAACTGCTTGAGTTGGGGAACAAATAAATCAATTTCATATCGGTTCAAAAGACTAATAAATAAACACCAAATGAAGGATATTATCTATAATTTCAATAAGTTTCAGTTTATAAACGCATGATGTAGTTCAATTTAATTATAGTTTTTCCCATTTATTACCATTTTTATTTATTTCAGTTAAAATGTTTCCTGAATTTCAGTTTAAGTTTTAGTTAGTTTTACTTAACCTTTACTCAGATCTACTGCTCCAGACATCTGGTTTAAATATCACCAGGGCCAAGTTTCTGGGGGAAACGCTGGGTGTGTATGATAATGGATGGATGGATGTGGCTACCTTTTTCATCAGAATAATCAACATATTAATTGATTACTAAAATAATCATTATTTGCTGCCCTCTAAGTAACAATGAAACAATTGTTGTAGAAGTTTAAAGAGGACTTTCAAAAGAAAAAATCAATTTTCTCTCATCAGGTATAACTGCTGGTAAAGGTAAATGTAATTTTATTTAAATAGCACATTTTCAGCAACAAGGCAATACAAAGTGCTTTACAGGAATTAAAAGGAAATACAAACAAAATAACAAATCAAAGGAAAGAGCAAAATAAGAAGAAGAATCTAATGTTGATCTAAGTATGTAGACTAGGTGCTCCTGCTCAGAGTTGTTGGATAAGAAACCTCTGGTCAATTCCATTTCTGGGTTGGTAGGAATAAGAGTCTAAAAAGTAGTTGCTAAGGTAGTTTTTCTGGATTCTAAATTTGTTCTAATCCCTGCTCTGGTGATGCTTCCCTAAGCTTTTATTTGAAACTTTTGCAGCTTTATAATTTAATAATCTAAAACCTAATTTGAACTTTTTCCTTCTCTTTTCCAGGAACCATTTGTGCAGGTCCAAAGTTTACTGCAGGACTGCTGGTGACAGGCAGGGGGAGCTCCACGACCTGCTGGACAAACTGATGAGCAAAGCCCAGAAGCTGTCGGATTCCTCTCTGTGTCTGTACTACTTCAGGTATCAGGCTACAGAAAATGATGTTGAACTTTCTCACATGCCTCCCTTCCATGTTTGTGAACGCTCCTCTAATGACCCCCTCAAGGAAAAGCAGAGTTCACAAAGGAAAGCAGATTTTTTTTTTACCCTATTTATGTGAATTCATTGCTGATGTTATGTTTCCTTTCAGTGCGTCTCTTTATGTGGTGAAGGTGCTGCGTGGCGCTGCACCCACTGAGACCAGAGAGGAGCCAACAGCTGACGGAGCAGCAGCATCAGTAAATGATGTATGTTTACACACGTTGATCCAGTTCATGGTTGCATTTCACTTGTTGTGACCTTCTCACTGCAGGAGGCTGCTGTGTTTAGATTATAGGAAACACATGGTGCTTCACCCAACATTCAGATGGTTTAGTTGGCAGCAGGTGTTAGCAGCTGACACTTTCCACACTGCAAAAACACAAAATCTTACCCAGTATCTTTGTCTCGTTTCTAGTGCAATTATCTTATTACACTCAAAATGAAACAAAACTAAGTTACAAATAAATTAGTTTTGTTTTAAGTCAATAATTCCATAATATTGATAAAAAGTACTAATTACAAGTGAAAAAGTCTGGCAGTGGAACAAGACAGTTCCTACATTATAAGTTCAAAAGTTTTGTTCCACTAGCACAACATTTCTCAACGGGAGCGTTCAGAGGACACCAGGATGCGCTGGCAGAAATATCTATAAAAGGGAGACGTTTGCTTGAAGGTGAACTTTACACCTTAGATTCACAACAAAGTCTAAAAATACCAGTTTAGACTTTGAGCTACATGCAGACAACTGTGATGTGTAACATTAAAACATGCTTGGCTGCAAGCTTGTTTGAATGTACAGCATCGATGCAGGCCCGGCCCCAGAGGACTTTAGCAGGGGGGGGCATTGGTTTTCTTTGGGGGAGGGGCTTTTACTCTAATATAAATACATAAACAAGCCTTTATGTAACCTTTAAAATAAAAATAACTATGTTTATTTGTACAGAATAAACAATAAGGATGTAAACAGTGACATGTATAAAATGCTCAGAAAAACATGTTACGACATATTAACAATGGCACAGAGAGGGGAAATCCAGGAGCCCCTGCTGCAGTGGTTCCCAAACTTTTTCACCTGGCCCCCCTGTGGATTACCAAAATGGAGAGGCTGCCTGGTTGAATGATGTGTGTGAGTGGTGGGGGGAGTGGGGGGTGATCGACTTATTTTGGGGGCAAAATGAATTGAAGTAGCTGAATATAGACAACATTGTCAGTAGCCTAGAGGCTACTTGTTACGCTTAAGGTGCTGTGTTGATATTAGCTAGTCATCATTTAGCTAACATTACCTGCATCCCAGTGACCTGCGGTCAGGGGAGCCACCGGTCATTGTGTTAAAATAATATATAATGATAAAATAATTTATATTGCTATTTTCACCCTGTGGTTTGTACTAAAAAGTACCTATTTTTCATTTAACTTAACCAATTCTGATGATTTTTTCTTCAAAATCGCTAAACGTTTGTAGTTTCCCATTCAATGCTCGGAAGCGAAGCCGGTGATGCAGCAGCGAGCTGTAGCGAGCAGAACAGATTC